GGGTAGGGAATGGGGAGTGACTGAGGGGTGATGGTTAAGGAGACAATTTCTAAAAGTGAGTATGGTTTTGGTTACACAACTCTGTGAATATGCTAAAAGCCATTGAATTACACACTTTAAATGTTTGAACCGTATGCTATTATATCTGAACTGTATTGAGATATGTGAATTATATCTCAAAAAAACTGCTAGGAAAAATCTTAAACAGATTTCTGGGCCCAATCTGACTCAACCTGAGCATTTTATTTTTCATGAACCAGATCATCTTGGTTACAAGTAGTTTTATATAAAGCATTAAAAATAACTATGTCTCATCATGATGGATACACCCCACACCACACCTCCTACCAGAGTTCATGGGTTGGTGTCATATGCCGACTAAAGGTGCCTGCCATCCCCTACTCTGAAACTATTACTCTGGGTTGGTCTTTGGAACCCAGAGAAGCAGTATTTTCTCTTCTCTCTTCCTGGAATTCAAAGACATGACCAAGGACACAGACTGTGCTGCTACGTGCAGTAATCTACAGGGAGAAAAGTAAAAACTTCTACTGCCACATGCTTTATTTTTATTTTTTAAAAGATTTTATTTATTTTTAATTGTATGTTACTGACTATGCTATTAAGTTGTCCTGATTTTTCTCCCTTGCCCTGGTCTGCCCAGCACCTCCCACTCCCAGGCAATCAATCCTCCCACCATTGTTCATGTCCATGGGTCATGCTTATAAATCCTTTGGCTGCTCCATTTCCTATACTGTACTTGACATCCCCAGGGCTATTCTGTAACTATCTGTACTTCTTAACCCCCTCACCTCTTCACCCATTCCCCCATACCCCTCTCCCATCTGGCAACCATCAAAACGCTCTCTATACCCATGATTCTGTTTCTGTTCTTCTTGGTTACTTAGCTCATTTTTTTTAGATTCAATTGTTGATAGATATGTATTTTTTGGCCATTTTATTGTTCAGAGTTTTGATCTTCTTCTTTTTCTTAAGTAAGTCCCTTTAATATTTCACATAATAATGGTTTGCTGATGATGAATTCCTTTAGTTTTTTCTTGTCTGGGAAGATCTTTTTCTGCCCTTCAATTTTAAATGATAGCTTTGCTGATTAGAGCAATCATGGCTATAGGTCCCTGCTCTTCATGACTTTGAATATTTCTTGCCAATTCCTTCAGCCTGCAAACTTTGAGAAATCAGTTGATAGTCTTATGGGAACTCCCCTGTAACTAACTAACTTCCTTTCTCTTGCTGCTTTTAAGATCCTCTCTTTATCTTTAACCTTTGGCATTGCAATTCTGATGTGCCTTGGAGTGGGCCTCTTTGTCACATGATTCATTTTTAAAGAGCATCAGATACAACTCCATCTAACCTATGACAGAAGTGCATTCCACAAACAGACTCCTGCCTGAAAGAGGCTGGTGCCAGGGCGGCCACCAGACAGCTGCTGAGCTCAGCAGGCTCCCTGCAGAAGGAGCTGACTAGGCAAACACACTTGTTTTTCACCCACGGTCATAAAAATCACTAAGGGTTAGGGCCAGGTGTGACTTACAGAAGACTGAGCTCCAGCTTCCTGTTTAGAGGTGAGAAAACCAAAACCCCAGCTGGATGAAGATTTGGGATAAAATCCAGCACACCAGATTCCCAGTCCAGTGTTTTTCTACCACACCATAAATGATCTATGATTAGATCTGCTGAGGGAATTCTGCATAATAAAAAGTACACGAGTTCAGAGCTTAGTTTGGTGACCTTGAGCAAATTCATCTCCCTTCGCCTCAGTTTCCTCATCTGAAAAATGTTGTTAATAATACTTACATAACAATGATGTTATAAAACTAGAAAGAAAAGATATGATTTGTTGCTTGGTCCCTAATGGACCTCATTAATGGTAGCAATTGTAACTATTACTGCAGAGAAGTTCAAGGACAGGAAGTCAGAAAGTTCACTTTATAAAGTAAGCACTGCCACAGTTCCTCCATTCCATCGCTCTGGAGTGCTGAGCCAGGTCCCCAACATGAGAACGGTGATTTATGTGCCGTCAGCATCCTACAAACCCAGGCAGACAGATTTGTGAATTTCATGGAAAAGGGAAACACAGAGAATTCTTTCCAACTAGAGAGGGTCATTGAAAATGAGCCCTGGATATCAAGGCTTCCAAGGGAAATGTTTGGGAAATGAAAGAAGAGACCACACCAAATGCAGCATCATGTGGCTGCCCTTTTGGCATACTCACAATGTCCCATCCACCAGGTCCCACACCCATCCAACACAGGCTGGATTTGTGTGCTCAGACCCAGCCAGCGAGGCCTGGCGGAAGGAAGGAGGCGCAGGATTCCTCTCAGGCCTGGACTGAGGGAAACAGACTCAGTATGAGTTTCTTCGATTTGACAAAGAGAAAAGTTAGGTGTTAGTGGTTAGTCGGTCACCCACTTCTGGAAGGTGTTAGTAGACCCCAAATCCCTAGCTGGTGTGGCTCAGTTGGCTGAAGCATCATCCCATACACTGAAAGGTTGGAGGTGCAATTCCTGGTCAGGGCAACCTGGGTTGCAAATTCAATCCCAGGTCAGGGTATGTATGAAAGGCAACCAATCAATGTTTCTCTCTCACAGCGATGTTTCTCTGTCTCTCTCCCTCCCTCCCTCTGTAATTTTCTCCCTCTCTTCCCCTCTCTCTAAAATCAATGAGCATGTCCTCGGGTGAGGGTTAAAAAAAATTCCAAAAGTAAGCCCCAAAGTCTATCGACTCAACCCAGTTCCAGGATCTTATTTCAGTCAAGGCGGGAAGAAGAAATGTATTAACAGCAAGGACTCTTCAACTTCTGACCCCTGAAGACATAAGAATTGAAAGAAGAGATACTCACTAGCAGGGAAAGGGGGGATTAAAAAGAAAAATGAAAAAGCAGGAGTACTTAACATGAGAATAGCTATCTGAAGCAAGGGGAGAACAGAGCATTCCCCAAAGTGGGCATCTCTCTGTTCAGCTGCATATCCCACATGCTAACCAGTTCAGCCCTGAAACTGCACAGAACCTCTGAACTGGAAGAAAACTTAAAACTTGACTCCAACACTACACCCAACACAACCATCCACAACACCCCCAAAAGTAATCGACCAGTGACAATTAGCGCTGGTGACAGGGACCTCCACGCACTGTGGTGCAACGTGAGAAAGCCCTAAGTCTTTGAAAGTTCTTAGGATCACGCAAAAGCCACTTCCCATACGGCACTTCCATCAACTGGTCCTGGTTGTAATCTCTGGACTATTGCAGAGTAAATGAGTCCACCTCCTCACACTGCCTTGAAAATGGAAGAGGCAGCTCTGAGCACTTAAGAAGTGCCACAAGGATGAGGCCCACTGGCCAGTCAAGGGAAAACAAGAACCCACAGAGCAGGCCATTACAAATGGCACAATCAGAAAACAAAGGGAGGGAGACGTGATGCCACCGCCAGAGCAGCCCCTGCAGCACACAGCCTCCATCCCAGACAGGTGGTCCCAGACACCCAGCAAACAGCCAAGCCCTCTGAGTCCCCTCACTTCCTGACTTTGAGAACATCTTTAAAGAGCATGCGCTCTGCATGTACAAGCTGATTACTGTCCACTAGTCTCTTGACAAGAGCCAAGGAGGTCCTTGATCATATTTAAATAATAAAAAAGAGACAAACTCGTTTTCTGCTGTCTTCATTTCCCTTGGCCACCATGCAGAGATAGGAAGAAAGGAGGATTTCATGGCAACCTAGAAAGAAACAAGGGAATCTGCTTGCTGGACAAGGCTTTTGCAAGGCAGATACTAACGTATACCGGGGAGAGGCAACTCTCTGAATAGAAAACAGACTTCCACGCAGAGTATGTCAGGGCAGAAGAGGCGGAACTCGACCCCATCACTTGTAAACCCAAATCCAAGCGAGGGCGGGGGTCACCCAAGGTTGCAGCGCCCAGTGTCAGAGCGAGAACAAGAGCTCCTCGTCCCCCAATCTCGGTTCTTTCCATTACACCGCGCCGTTATCTCATTTCAGCAAGCCTCAAACAACTGCAAAATATCCACTGAAATCATCACTATTCCCGAATCGGACCGGCCACGGGAAAAAGAAAGCAACGATCTGTGTGCGGTCCGCGTTAACTCCAGGGCTCTCCACCACCTCAGCTGCGAGTCACCTGCCCTCCAGGAGCGCACCCCGACTTCCAGGTCCTATTTTGGTAGGATTTACGACAAGATCGCAGGGCAGCTGGAAACAAAACCTACAGAACGATGAGTTCGCAGAAAAAAAAATCGTCACCCAGCAGGGAACCACACCCAGAGCCAACCCAACGGGGTGGTGGAGAAAGGAGAGCGGGAAACGGGGAGAGGAGTAAGAGAGAAGGGGCCCGGGAGAGGGTGCCTTCCACGTGTCAAGTTTTCCGCTCGAGGCGGTGCGGTAGAGAGGAAACAGCTGCTGAGCTCAGGGAGACCTGGCTTCCAGGAGCGGCGCTGCGACCTGCTCCCTGGGTGGCCTTGGGCAAACCCTGCCCCTTCCCGGGCCAAGATTTCCCCGACTGCGCTGGGGCGGGGGCGGGGGGCGGTGCAGCAGATGATTTCCGAGGCCCCTGCAGGTCTGGGTGGTATTTGGTAACCCGAAGACCCACAATTAGCAGGTCCCCGCGGGGCAGCTCCCACACAGGGCCGGTGACTGGCAGGCGACCTGCCTGCGACGGCCCGACTCCTTTCGGAGGCGTGTCCGCAGCCCGGGCTGGTCGTCTGGGTGATGTTTCCCCTTTCGGGACCCGAGTTCCCCCACCTGTCAAATAGGATGGGTAGGTCAAGGGACAGAGCGTGGTGGACAAGGGAGTCTGCAGGTCGCCTCCTCCCAGGAGGGGTGGCCGCGGGGTACCGCCGCCGAGGCCGGGGAACCCGGGAGACTCGGACCCGAATCCCAGGCGGCCGGTGGCGGACCCTGAGCAACCGCGGCGCCCCGAGGAAGGCGCTGGCTGACCTCCCCAGCCACAGCCTGTCAGCGCGGGCGGACTCACCGCCCGGGTTCCGGTTCCGGCTCCAGCTCCGCTTTGGCTCAGCTCCGGCTCGACTCCGGCTGGGACTCCCGCCTCAGTGCAGTGCACCTCACCCCGTCTCAGCGCGGAGGTCTCCCCATCTCCCCGAACTGCCCCGCAGCCGCTTCCGGGCCTCGCCACGTGACCCAGACGCCCAAACCAGAAGCGGGGGTCGGAAGCTCTCCGGAGCCGCAGCGCTTCCCTCTCGCGGTGCTCCGAAACGCTGCTGCGCAGCGCCCCCTGGCGACCCCTTGCTGCCACTGCAGGAAGGACCGTGTTCCTTAGGGACCGGAGACAGGAAACGGGAACTGGGAGGGGTGTTGGCCTCGGAGCATGCGCGGAGCACCCACCTTCAACTCGGTGGGTGCCGAGTTGAAGCGTACAGTACCTTGAGTGTGGGCTTGGGAAAGGTCATTTTTATCCTTGCTGTATTTTCTTTAATACGTTCCAAGGAGCATATATTGCTTTTATTATCAATTAATAATACATGTTTTAAAAAGTCACCTAAGCACATTTTAAAAGTGTACACAAACTCATTTCTTATGACTGTGTATTTGGGATTGATGTGCCCTGTGCCCATTTTTTTTCTATTCAAAATAATAGGAACTTGCTTATCAGTTAATGTGCTTAAACAGACCATCAAATTTTTAGGAGCATATGACTGATATTAAGAAGGTTTCTTTTGTTTGATTGTTTTTAGTATTGTTTTTGTTTGTTTGTTACCCAACAAGTAGGTATTTTGCTGGGGGTCGAGTGGAACTCCTCTGAAGTCAGATGCACTGCCCTTGCACAGGGAGGTCACAGGGGTGGGACTCCTAATGAGGACTCTTGATTCAACTCAAGTTAAAGTAACTGGTGAACAAAAGGAGACTGCATGAGAAAGATCTTGAGAACTTTCATGGGACAGTCAAGTCCAGAGAGGCATCCTGAGGGAGTCAGGCTTCAGGAGCAGCATAAACCCAGGAGTTAGGGAACCTCAGGGTTTCCGCTGTCTCTGCTCAGGCTGGCTCTATGCATCGCCTTCATTCCTTTCTCTTGATGCCAGCCAGCTCTGTCCAAGGCTCTTGGGTTTTACATTTTAGCATTTTAGGCACCAGAGACTAAGCTGATGCCCTGTTTCCAAAAATCCAGGAAAGGAATTCATTGGTTCACCTCAAGTCAGGTGCCACCCATGAACCAAACAACTGTAATTAGGGAAAGCATCAGTAGAAATCATAACTGATATAGGGGGGCCAGGTCACTTGAGAAAGGTGAAGGGCAGGGTTTCTGAGGAGCTAATCCCGTGGACATCCATAGTAAGACTTGAAGAAAGAAAAAAGAAATTGGAGATAAAGATTGGGCAAAGTCTAACTTTGCAACTCATAAGCCGTGTGACCCTGGGTAAGTCATGCTTTTAAATGGGGCCAATAATTCCTCCCTTGTTATGCCTCATGCTGTAAAACTAGTGGTGAGAACTCAGGGCTTCCTAGAGAGGAAGCAGAGTTTAGTCGGTGTAGGTATAGAATCCAGAGTGTTGGTTCTCAGCTGGGGGTGATTGGCCCTGCCAGGGGACAAGGTTGCCTGGACCATTATTTGGAGCCGATGTCCCCAACACAGCTGATTCTGAGACACAGAATCACAGGTAGTTGGAGCTGGAATAAAGGATGAATACATAGAGATTTTTCTAGATTACTAAATCATACCACAAATAAGGAAGCAGGTTTCTTCAGTCCTGGTGCCAGTACAGTTTATATTATGATTCCATCCTTTGGTTAGGAGCTATTGCTTATTCCAGTGTGTAAGGTACTCGTTCCTCTAGTTCTCATCCCCACCCTCTAGTCCTCAACCCCACCCACCCAAGCCAAAGGAATCCAAAATCATGCACACCTTCATTACTGCTGGAAGGGCACCTCCCAGGCCTGAAATTAGGGTTGGAGCTCTCCCTGGTGGTCTGAGCACAGAAACACAACTCCTTTGAAGACACCCGCCTGAACATTTTAACTGAGATTTTTCCGTCACGTCAATCAAAAGCAGCAGCATCGTCATCTTCATCCATGAACCACAAAGCTGCTCAGCAGAACAGCCTGTCCTGAGCATGGAATAGGATACTCAAGTATGGATGGCTGGACTAGAGCACTTTAAAGTCATTTCTGTAACTGGTCTTATTAGAATTCTTATTATTGATATATATTCATATTACTGATATAATTCATATTGTCAATATACTGATATTGGTATAATCCTTGTACCTAGAGGTGCTGTGTTTTGGACTTTGGAATTTTTTCCTCTCTCTCAAGCTTTGTGATGGATGAGATGCATGAATTAGAATAATAAACAATGGGTAAATGGGGTCTCTACATAAATGGGGACCTCTGTGTAATTACAGCCCCTACATTCACAGGTTTTGCCTATGGAAAACAAAATGGGAGATCCTGCCCAGCTTCCAGTCACCCTATGCAGGGGGATGCTTGCGGTCACCACCTGTACAGAGGTCCTGGGGCCTTGGGCTACCTTAAGTTTCTGGGCCCACCACCTGTGCGAGCACCAGCTGAAACCTCTCCAGCTGCTGGTGAGTGAGCTCAGGCCTCAGAGCCAGAAGGACCATGTGCAGGTGGGACTGGCTTAGCTTAACTCTGTGGCCCTAAAGAACAGAAATTCGCATTCTTAATCCATGGTATTGTATAAACAACAGCTATTTAGAAAAATATAAGGTGATAACTTAGTTTTCTGAGTAACTCACACGGATCATTAAGAAGGAGAAGAAAGAATAGCAGGTATTTATCAAATGTTTCCCCTGCACTGAGTGGTTTACACACACGTCCAATTTATTTTTGTTGCAGCCCCGTCTATCACCTACAAGACAGAGAACCGGGTCAAGGAATTCTGATATGGTTTGGTCACCTTCCCTTGCTTCATACACCACCAATTCATACTCCATCTGGAACCTGGTGATGACCAAGTGTTGTGGGAACACAAAAGAAGGAGAATTCATTGTGACCAGGGAACAGAGAAGCATCGCAGAAGCCTCTGAGACCATCACAACTTTGAGCAGGAATGTGAGTGGTTATGAATAGAGGGAAAGGATTTTCTTGGCAGAGAGAGCAGCTCATGCAAAAGGCATTGATTGCGAAGGTGTATGGTGTGCTCAGGGAGTGGCTCTGACGGCCTGGTTGGTGCGATGCTGAGCACGTGGAGCAGAGACCAAGGGAGGGACTGTTGTGAGAAGAGATGGTAGGAAAGTGGACTTGGAATTCAATGGGCTTTGAACCCCAGGCTCAAGTTTGGAACTCTTTCCTGTAGGCAATGTGATGTCATTAAAGGCTTTTTAAGCACTGCGCTTCCATAATTACTAACCTTTTCTCTGTCTTATGTCCGGGAAAAAGCACTTTTATTTTTTCTATTTTTGGCTTTGAAAAAATGAGCCCTATACGGTCAGCATGTCACGATCACAGTCTTTCCAAGGCCATCAGACGCAGTCCCTGCCTTTTAGCAGACACAGAACATGTCCTCAATTTACAGGGGAGGCAAAGGAGTTTCGGGAAAGTAAGGTGACCTAGACAGTTAGTGGTAGAGGCGGAGCTAAAACTCAGATCTCCTGAAACCTAGGCCAGCTTTTTGAACACACACATCATGTGTTCTATGACCTCATACACATTCAGTTATGAAAAAAGAGAGCACACTATTCATTTTGTTTTAAGATAGCTTTTAAAGATTTTATTTATTTATTTTTAGAGAGAGAGGAGGGGTAGGAGAAAGAGAGAAAGAGAAATATCAATGTGTGGTTGCTTCTCATGCACCCCCCAATGGGAACCTGGCCCCAAACCCAGGCGTGTGCCCTGACCGAGAGTCAAGCCAGCGACCCTTTGGTTCACAGCCCACACTCGATGCACAGAGCCACAACCAGCCGGGGCAGAGCACACTATTTCTAAAGTGCAGGCAGTTTCACCCCATAGTCCAACTCATTGAATAGCTTCCCCTGGAGGAGTTGAGATGGGAAACGTGGCCGCATCACCTTCTCTGTAGGTCTTGGTCCCTCTCGCGCCCTCCCTGCAGTGAGGCTCTCAAGACTCTTAAGTGAGATTCTAGAGCCAGGAGATACGCGTGCCATTTTCTTCCTATATGGCCTATATGGCCTCTAAACACATTGCTGTGTTTTAGGGTGTTTTAAGAGACTATTCAAGGCAATCTTGACAATTCCCAGTTTCCACCTTGTGCTCCAGTATGACCGGTCTCCCTGCTGGCCCTCAGCAGGTCCCCAGAGGCTGCTGGTATCTGCAGACAAGTCTAATGTGGTGGCAACATTAGGCGGAGCTGCATGAGTACGAGACACGACCTTAGTTAGTTCTCTGCAATTTACTATCATCCTCCCAGAGGCTTCTGGCTTTTTACTGGCTGCAATGAGCTGTTAAAGGCATTGTGAACAGGGCGTACAACACCACACGGTGGAGTTTCCCCTCTTTCCTGTGTCATCCTGGTAGTTGGTATTGTTTGACCATCACCATTCTCTGTGGTGGCAGTAAACTAACAGGTTCCCAGTGGGCCTCGCCTCTCAGTACTGCGTTAATTACTTGTACTCAAAGGCAAAATTCTCCAATAGAGGTCTGTAAAGTCTGTCCTTGCATGATGTAAATGCTAGGCATGTTCTCTGGGACTGGGGAAGTGAAGACCTCGTCCTCTCGGAGGAGTGGTGGGGAGAGCACCCAACAGACAGAATGAGGACACTTTCCTGACCGTTACAGTCCAGGTGTGCAGTGATGTCACTCGCGTTCCCAGATCCCTGACTGGACAGGGAAACACCATCACTCCTGTTCTCCCATAGCCACATGAGCTAAGTGGGAGTCCTTTACCTGGCCTTTGCTGAAACGCGGCGCCTGTATTAAAGAGTTAAGTGGATGTGTATTCCCTCACCATTAGTCTCTTGCTCACGAGGCCTGCCTGGGGAGGCAATTGCTACTGTTGCGCTTTTTCTTTCCTCAGAATCAAAGGTCAGATGGCACGGGGTGTGTCATGGTCCTGCCATCTCCTCCTGCAGTGTCCGCATTCTCACTGCCCTCACCTTCCCGTGGACCCCATTGCTCTGTATCCTAACCTGGCTGAGTCACAAATGCTCTGGCCTTAGGTCATGGCAGCTTGCACCCTCCCAGTTAGGCCACGTGACAAGCTTTTCAGTTCATTCTCTTGTTCCCCAACTCTTATTAGCTTGTTCCAATGCTTGCAAAGTTGCAGGCAGTCTTATACCCTTTT